GGGAGGTCAGCAATGTTCGTATAGACTACTAACAGGGAGGTCAGCAATGTTCGTATAGACTACTTACAGGGAGGTCAGCAATGTTTACCAGAATCGTATAGACTATTAACCGAGAGGTCAGCAATTTTCGTAAAGACTACTCACAGGGAGGTCAGCAATGTTTCCCAGAATCGTATAGACTGCTAACAGGGAGGTCAGCAATGTTTCCCAGACTCGTATAGACTGCTAACAGGGAGGTCAGCATTGATCGTATAGACTTCTAACAGGGAGGTTAGCAATGTTTGTATAGACTACTAACAGGGAAGTCAGCAATGTTCGTATAGACTACGAACCGGGAGGTCAGCAATGTTCGTATAGACTGCTAACAGGGAGGTCAGCATTGTTCGTATAGACTTCGAACAGGGAGGTCAGCAATGTTTACTAGAATCGTATAGACTCCTAACAGGGAGATCAGCAATGTTCGTATATACTTCTAACAGGGAGGTCAGCAATGTTTACCAGAATCGTAGAGACTGCTAACAGGGAGGTCAGCATTGTTCGTATAGACTTCTAACAGGGAGGTCAGCAATGTTTGTATAGACTACTAACAGAGAGGTCAGCAATGTTCGTATAGACTACTAACAGGGAGGTCCGAAATGTTCGTATAGACTCCTAACAGGGAGGTCAGCAATGTTTACCAGAATCGTAGAGCCTGCTAACAGGGAGGTCAGCATTGTTCGTATAGACTCCTAACAGGGAGGTCAGCAATGTTCGTATAGACTGCTAACAGGGAGGTCAGCAATGTTTGTATAGACTACTAACAGGGAGGTCAGAAATGTTCGTATAGACTCCTAACAGGGAGGTCAGCAATGTTTACCAGAATCGTAGAGCCTGCTAACAGGGAGGTCAGCATTGTTCGTATAGACTTCTAACAGGGAGGTCAGCAATGTTTACCAGAATCGGATAGACTACTAACAGGGAGGTCAGCAATGTTCGTATAGACTGCTAACAGGGAGGTCAGCAATGTTTGTATAGACTACTAACAGGGAGGTCAGCAATGTTTACCAGAATCGTATAGACTACTAACAGGGAGGTCAGCAATGTTTACGCTGACATTTACTCGAAAGAAAATATCATAGAAATATTTGCCTTAGTTGGTTGAATGCTATAGATATACTTCTTACCTTCATAGTATGAACAACATGTGGATATTTGACATGTGATTCAGGAATCTCTGATCGTTGTATGATCTTAAAGGCTACAATACCAGCACACGTACAAAAGTAGGTATTAGCATCCTTTTGACTTACCAAGTTTTGTTTTAGAATCTCCAAAACCTAGGTTCCCATAGGTCATAATCCGAGATCGAGGAACACATAACACTGATTCTCTCCGACGTCTGTAATGATGACAGCTGATCAGGGGTGACAAGCTTTAGTAAATATAAAGGAGATACATCATTTGGTGTCTT